AATGACTTTGGAAGGCAGAGTTATACGCTAGCTGAAAACAAGCGCTGTGCAATCGCACTTACCTGTTAAACTCCTTCGAGGCTGAGAGTGGAATGCCCCTAGGAGGGGGCAGTTTTAGTGGGCCGGATGAACACCACCTACGATATGGCCGTAGAGGTCAGCCGAGTAAGGATAAGTTAGATGGTCGCCTAAACGGGGCACGGGGACTAGGAAAGCGCCGCCCACTTAAAGTAGGTGGTCTTGCGATAAATTGCAAGAAGGGTAAGTATTCCCGTGCGTTAACCCTAAGGACAGTTGCACCGTCACTTTCGACGAGGTCTACCGTGTGCTACACAACAGGGTGGTGCAGGGACGGTGACTTGCGACGTATCTACCGCACTCTCTTTTCTCACCTACCTGATAGAGTCAAGAGGAGCGGAGGCGGGATCGAGCCGAGAGGGTCGGCGGATCCGTCTGGACATACATGCCAGGATTTATATCACCAAGAGATTAGAAGGAGCTGTCGCCGTCTGACTCCCAGTTAACCCTGATACTAAACCTAAGACTGAGTTATAGCCCTACCCTATACCCGAACCCTACAGTTAACATGAACCCAAAATTGAATTCTTAACATAGTCCGGATCCTAACTCCAACCGTGACCTAACCCTCACCTTAGTCCGAAAGTTGATGCAAAGCCACATGCATTGTGGGTGGTTCATCTTCTCGTCTCCAGCTTAGGCGACCGTACAATAAAGGCAGGATCCGCTAATTGAAATAGACATGTAGCCGTACGACACCGGTGTCCTTTAAATACTGCACACCTGGCGACTTCATTATCTGATGATGGGTTCACGCGAGAATCCGAAACATCAAGCCAATAAACGCCATGTTCCAGCGACACCTCATCTTGTGGAAGACTTTTAAATAACACGCCTTCTTTCTAACCGGATACAGGCTCTAAATGTGAGAGAAGGAATTTATTCAGGGACCAAGAATCAGTCAGAAATATGCCTAAACAACGATGGTGGTCGTCTTGAACTGTGACAATCGAAAAGTGCGTAGGGTATTGACTTCTACAAAATGCTTGCATCACCTAAACAATGTAAATCATGTAATTTTAAAACTCTTGGAGGACTCATTGAGCAACATGCAGACGGCCCCTGAGTGAGCCATATCGCTTTATTTCTCCAGCAAAATGCCAACGTTGGCCACGGATCGACGATTACATACTTCTTCCACTCACCTGATTTCCTGTCACGCTGGATATACAACTGTCCGCAGGTAGTAGATAGATCATCGCAACGATTACTTGAACAGCAATCAACCAGCCAGGCCTCTGTATTTTCAAGCATACAAATGTTACTCGACTTAAGCGGGTTTCTGCTGTCCCCATTTTCATGGTGCTTCACAGTCTACTTTTGTTTTTCCTCAATTTGCCCTAACTAACATCTTTCTCAATCTCACTCCTTTTTTTTCAGACGTCGTCTGGATCGTGAAGTTCAGAGTTCCTACAGTTTTCGTGTGCTCGTCAGCGATGGTGTTCCCCACCCTGCGCCGGTACCGGATACCGCGGCACTGACCGCTTCCAGTGGTCCACGATGGTCGTTTCCCAAGCAGCGGGTTCACACAGCAGTCACCACCGTAGTCGTATCGGTTCTGGACGAAAACGACAACAGCCCCACTTTTATTCAACCCAATTCCACCAATCATCTCATCCTACTCGATCCGACTACCGTTCCTGGCCGATCTCTCTTGCAGGTAAAAGATAACTAAAAAAAACAATCAGTAATGTTCTATTTTTTTAAAACTATAATTGCTATATGCCTAGGCAAATAGCCGTCGTGCGGCTGCTGTCGGGGCTCGAGAATGAGCCTCAAGGCAGACCAGGACGAGTGAGTTTCGTTAGTATTTGGTGAACACTCATCGACAAATGTCAGTATCTCCCGATCTAAACAGGTCATACCTCAAAGGTTAGAGCGTTAGACTTCTGATCATAAAGGTCGCGAGTTCGAGCCTCGGGTAGTGCACCGCATAGGGTTGGATATGATTGGCTGTCAGCGGCTAATGAGCCACAAATGGCCTGTCCAGTCTCCCCTGCCTTTGTCGGCAAGGTCATTCTGTCTATATAATTAGCCGCCGTGTGACAAGGCTTGAGAGTGAACCCGCAGACACAAAGGTTGACAACCATTCCTGGCCGATCTCTCCTGCAGGTATAACTAAAAAACAATAACAAGTAAATCATTACTTAACAAATATACTTGCGTATGGTGCATATGCTCCGTAAGCAGCCAAGAGACATCAGAAACTTACTAACTCTGGAAGTTAAAAACAGGCATAAACAAGCGGATTCACTGGATAAAATAAATTTTGCGACGGCTGGTCATCTGCCTCGCGTATTTGCAGGATTTAAATAGCGAATGGAAGCACAGAACAGTTTTAATTTTCACAGAATGTTAATGTATAACAGCAGGGGTCATAGTTCACTGCAAATAATTATTAGCTGAAGGACACTACTTTAAACCAGCATATATGAAAGAGAAGGTGGGGAGGGGAGGAAGTTAATACAAATCTCACTTTTGAATAAATCTAGGCACCCAACTACCAGGAAGATTGGAAATTGACCACATGGTCAAGCTGCTCGCCTAGGTCGGGCTTCTATCACCGTATAGAGGCTGCTTCCGAGTAACGCAGGCCCCGATTTGCTTGTGCCCGAAAGGGTACATGGAAAGATATTTTGAGGTCAACAGGGTGACGGCTACCTAGCAGATATTTCGTAATCGGGATCGTGTTACTCCTTTTCCCTCATTTGAAAGCCAATTAGGCAAATGCTCAGTGTCCCTGACTGTCAGTTGCCTTTGCGTACGTCTAATGTATTTGCAT